GCCAGGTGTCCCCTTCGCCACAACATCATAAACCCACATGGCAACTGTGCTTCTAACTCCCAAGCCTTATTAACTATAATCTGTGCATTCACATATACGCAGTGTAACCGTGTCTTAGAATTCAAAACGTTCTCCCTCAATCTGATTTCACATACTCAATGAGTAATTTATATTTTAGTATACTTTCCTAGTAGTTATGCACACAGGTTTTATTGTCTCATATTCCCTCCTGATCCCAACCCCTCGGCTCAACGAGTTTAAACTTTCCGCAACAGCACCAGCAAAATGCACAGCATTCCCCCTTCCTGCCTATGATGTTCGATACAATGTGAACCACAATTTCTGGCTGTTCTCACTCACCCAGAAGGATCTTCCTGTGACTCTGGCAGCAGGGAGGCCACACACTATCATGACGTCATGTTGACTGCTGCAGAAATGTCTGTCTGTCCACGAACTAAAGAATCTCCTTTCGGTGCTGCCCTTCCACTCTTGCCTCAGCTCTCCTGTACAGCTGGGCCACCCATGGTACCATGGCCTTGAGTGTTGCTGCATTCCTCCAGGAATCCAGCACCATCACCAACTTCCAGATAGAAAACCAGTTGGTGAGTGGGACCTCTGAGAGCTCCTGCACTACCAGCCTGTTTCTCTTGGATTTCCATGAATTCACACATTCCCTTTCTGCCTGCTTACCCTAATGTGTGGTATGACCACCTCCCTGAATGTGCTATCCACATTGCTCTCTGCCTCACAGACACAGCTCAGTGACTGTAGCTGCTGCTCAAACTCTGAAACCCAGAGTTCAAGCTTGTGCAGCTGCTGTAAATTCCTGTATTTGGGCTGGTCAAGACCACAAGAAATGTCAATAGCACCCTGTACACCACAGAACTTGACTGAGCTGACCTATCCATATTTTATACATTTAACTTACTTTAACATTTGTTGCTTTCACTTACTCTAATTTTATTCTTGTACTATTAACTAATAACTGATGATTAATGGAAAGTAGGAATTCATGTTTACTTTTACATATTATCTTTCTCATTTATGCCTATAAATTCTACCTTCCCAATTCCAGTTTACAAATTTACATTTTTCAATATGAACTGGTGTTGAAACACAGACCCCAACAGCAGCTTATCAACAAACAATTAATTAGTGTCTCCCCTGTGATGTCACCCTTAGACTTTTTTCCAGAAGCAGCCTCGCTCCCAGGATTGATGGTCCCTTGTAGGCCTGACCTCCAGCCCCTTTAAGATGATGACCATTTACACTGGGGTTTGATGCTTATGACTTAAGGTTGGGTGTGGTTTTATTGCAAAATGAGAAATGGACATAAAGAAGCCATTAGAACACTTTTCTCAGAAATTGATTCAACATCAAAGGAGGTACTTTACAGTAGAAAAAGAAAATCCTGCCTTGTTACCAGGTCTTAAAATGTCAACTTTTAAGTCCATTATTACCACAAAATAACACTCACATACACTGATCATAATCCATTGGCCTTTGTAGACAAATCTAATAATCAAAATGCCAAACTGTTTCAGTATGGTTTGCTCATTCAACCATTTAAATAATTATTTACATAGCCAGAACAGAAAAAAATATAATATTTACCAATGTTTGATTGACATGTGACTTCAGAGAATTGCTCAACAGTAATGTGAGTTGTGACTCACCTGATCATTACTGAAATGTCAAGAACCTTTGGAAAGGAAAGAAGTAAATCTTTTAAGAGGGATTAGTGGAAAGGTTTATTGCTTTAATTGCCAGACAAACTTCGTTAGGGACAAATGGGGCACGTGCTGATTGTGTTTAGCAACACTCTTCTGGAGTTGTTTCCGATCTTTCCAGGATGTCTGTATGTGTCACTGGGAGAAATTACCTCAAAGTATGCAGTAGGCAACTCTCCTTCTGAAAAGGTAAGAAGACGATTTACAGCAGGAGAAGCTGCACAGATCCCTCTCTCAGGACGAAGCTGAGAAAGTTTCTGATATCAGTATTTCCAACAATCTCATCAACTTTGAAAGCTAGACTCTTACTTCTACTTAAAGACCTTAATCTAACTGACTTTCTATCTGTCTGAAGATATTCTATCAATCTAAGGTGGACAGTATTTCAATATCATCAATATAAAACACACTTTATCCTTTGAGTATGGATGCTTAGCCTGTGGGTGTTTTTGTTTCCCCCTTTTGGCTTTTAAAGTGAGATCATCTCTGTCAAATTGGATGCTGTTTACTACATGAATGTTTTTGTGCGGGATTAAGAGGACGTTGTTTAATTCTGGAATGTACTTTAGTTGGGAAGCAGTTTCTTCACGTTATTTAAACAATACACTTTGATTACAACAAACAAGTACCTTAATTGTACAGCTTGAGGAGGAGAGTGATAATCAAGTCACAAAATGTACTGACGCTAATTAACACACCCATAAAACTCATGAAGCAAACCCGAGGCTGTACGGTTGTCCACTGAATGTTGGATGTGAACCGTTGAGCAATGAAGAGGATATCACTTACCGGAAACGTGAAGCTGGGTTACGGGTTTGTAGCTGTATTTAGACTTTCCCTCAAATTCTACTCTGAAAAGATAAGGTCCTGCATCTTGCCGCCTGATGTTGTTTATAATCAGGGAACAGTCTCCATCTTTCAGGTGTCCAGACAGTCGGGTCCGATGGTGGAAATGTGGCGACTCTTGACTGTGATCCCGGGAGTGAAAGGCTATCGACGATGTGACCACTTTCTCGTTATTAAACCAGATTCCATCTCGATGTTGGTCTGCCAGATCTAAAGGATACCTGTAATGACATGGAATCTGTGCACAGGAACCTTCCTGTGCTGTCACCTCACGTGGAGTGTCGGCTTCCCAGTTTTGTGCCAGTCCAGCTGGGAAGAGAAATATCAGTATTTAGCACTGAATAGGCTGTAGATCATTAGACTCGATATCCACTCCCTCCATCACTGGCACACAATGGCTGCAGTAAGGACCATCTACAGGAAACACGGGGAACTTCCCAAGGTTACACGGCAGGTGGAGGGGAATCCTGGATATAGAAGTGGACAACTTCATTCTACATTGGGTCATGGTAATTACAGACTCCCAATCTAATTTCTAATACCCCTCATATGAGGGTGCTGTGCGGAAGGACCGTGTTAATGGGATTCAGGAAGCAGGAAATCACTTAGAGGATGGTTTGAGAATAATGATGAGACAGACCAGAGAGATGACGGATGAAGGATTAGGGTGAGTCTATCGTAATACATTAGATACAGGACGCAGAAACAAGCCATTCAGCTCAACTAGTGCATGTTGCTGTTAATACTCCACTTCAGCCTCCCATCTTTCTTCGTCCATGACTGACATCTCAACCAATTATTCCCTTCTCCCTTATGTATTTATCCAGTGCCCCCATTAAATACATTGATATGATTAACCTCAATTACTCCCTGTGGGGGTGAGTACCACATTCTGCTCAGGCTGAGTGAAGAGGTTCCTCCTGAATTCAAAATTGGATATCTTGTGTCTGTCTATATTGATAGTCCTCAACAGGATGCATTCTTCGTGAACTCACTGTGTCAAAAACTTTCAGAATTTTGATGATTATAACTAATGTTACCCATCAGCCTTCCCTTTCTGCCAGAAAAGATCAGTCTATCAATCCTTTGCTGTTGTGTCGATCCACACATTTCTGGGAACCACTGTATTAATCTTCCCTGCACCCTCTCAAATACTGCTGGCTCTATTTCATAATGTGCAGATCAGGACTGCACACAGTACTGCAGGTGTGGTCTGACCAGGATTTCAATACAGGTTTAGCATAGCATTCCTATATTTTAGTTGTATCCCTCGAGAAATAAAGTGCAGTGCTTGGTTTGTTACTTTGTGATTTTGCTCATCCATGAAGCAGTTTTGAAGTCCACCTGACTCTCATCTTCCACTGAAAAACTGATCTTCCTATTTTTCCCTCCAATGTGTATTCATTGTCATTTGTTCGTTTGGACTTGGTTATTGCTGAAAAGAGAGCTGAGCTTTTCAAGTATTTCATTTTGCACCCATCAGGACAGATTCAAGAACGCCAAATTTCAAATTGGACCACAATCTACACTGCATGAAGAAAGGTTCCCATTTTATTTTCAGGCTGAATCTGGTCATGACATGTCATGGAGAATTTACCAGGGAACAGTTATCACCTCAATAAGGAATGGAACAACTGCGGATGCTGTAAATCAGAAACAAAAACAAAAATTGCTGGAAAAGCTCAGCAGCTTTGGCAGCATCTGTAGAACTGAGGAAGTGTTACTCAACCCAAAACATTAACTCTGATTTCTCTCCAAAGTTATCACCTCAAGTTTTTGTCAAAAATTAAAGCAGTCAAGTTGACTCTGATTCGTCATGGTATTACTGGAGACTGAAGGGACAACAGTGTAGATGCTGGAAATCTGAGCTAGCTGTGAGAAAGCTGGAGAAATTCAGAGAAACTCTGTGGAGAGGGAAACAGAGTGCACAAAGAAGTCTGGACTGACTGTTCAGAACTGGAAGGTGTTGGAAAAGAGGTTTTTTTTTATAATTTTGACAGAGGTGCAGAGAGACAGATGGCATAGAGACCCAGTGCAATAAACAAGGGGGTTGGTAATCATGGATTAATAAAAAATCTCAAGAGTGTGTAAATTAAAATGTGAAAAGGAGAGAATTAGTCCATGCTCCACATTGCTGTATTGGAATCAACTATACAGCATCAGACACTGACTTCTCCCCAAGCTCAGCACTGACCCTACTCTGGGAACAAAGATAAATATGGAACTGAATGTTTGACACCTTTTTTCACTGATTGCTTTTCCTTCCTTCTCTCGGTTATCTAACACATTTGCTGAGGCTTCTAGCTCAGTGAGAATGGACAGGAAATGTGATACTGAACAGCCTGTCTATTTTAGAAGATTTGGTTTGCCTTCATGGGCAATTCTGATGAAAATCAACAAAATATGCAAATTTCAGAAAATTTGAATTGAACATGTTGCTTCAGAGTCAACATCATTCCCCAGTTTTTATCAAGGTTCACACCCCATGACTGTATCGTGGTTCAGTGACTAACTTCTTTGTCCATGTGTATTGAGACCAGTGAGAATTGTCATGTCTCTTGGTGGCTAGTTGGTTTTCATGTATCCTTATTGTTAATTTTCTTCCAGTTTGGCCTATGTGATGTTTTTCACTATTTAGACCTCTAGGTATCAGAGTAGACACAAACCAGCAACCACCCTGCAACAGCTACTGACGAACATAAAAGATTCCATACCCACAACCAATAGAACTAACGTAATAGACAAAATACCAAGAAAGGAGTGTGAAAAACATTACATCAGCCAAACTGGAGGAAAACTGACAATAAGGATACATGAACACCAGCCAGCCACCAAGAGACAGGAGCAATTCTTACTGGTGTCAATACACACAGAAAGAGAAGGACACAAATTCCACGGGGAAAACCCATCCATAATAGCATGAGCCAAACAGTGACATGCCAGGGAATTCTTGGAGGTCTGGCATTCCAACCGCAACTCCATCAACAAACACATTGAACTGAACCCAATATACAAACCACTGAAAAACAGAACTGGAAGTAATGCCAACCACCCCAGCAAACCGAGGCATATAAATAACAAGTGGGACAGAAAACAAACACTTCACCGAAGCGCACTGACAATGTTACCTAGCAGGGGAATGAAACATCTGCAAACGAACACACCGGCTCGGTGAGTAAGTCTACAACCTCATCCACAACCCGAGCTACAAATCCTCTCAAAAACACTAATCAAATATAAATCTGTCTGAGCTGACGATATCATTACCTTGGAGGAGTGACAGTAGGAAGTAAGATTTCCCGATCATTGTCCTCTCCCAGATATTTCATCAGCTTCTCCCTCTCAAGCTCTGAAAGAGAAAGGAGTTAATGAGACCTTACTTCTTATCCGACAGATATCAAGGCATCAGAATGACTTTTATACGTTGCCCTCACAGATTATTTAGATTCTCTTTGGGACGATAGGTGCTCAGCAGAGAGTTACAGGGCTTCCAGAAAGTAAAACAATATGTTCTGTATAGGCGATTTGAGTTTACTGCTCGATCTCAATCAACAGAAATCTTTGAAGGCATCAATCACTGGAATATGTCTTTACGAAGTCATAACATCAAGAAAGGAAGATGTTGATCGTGGAAGTGAGCTCCTGTTGTTGTATTATTTGCCCTGGACCTGTACGACTGCTCGCCTGAGGAATAAGTGCCGACACATTCTGCTGGGTCTACATGTGCTCTTCCTGTGCTGCTTCCCTGTGTATTTAATCAGCATTTTCAATGTGTCACTGTGAGTGAAATTGGGAAGTCAGTTCAAAGTGAGAAAGCAGCAGTTTTCCCGGCATTACCATCAAACTGTTAGCCCTTTATGTGGCTGTGATGTTGTCTCTGTACACATCTGGGGGCAGCATTTAACATGGTTTGATGTGGCTGAATGAGCCTTCTCCTGTTCCTCTGGCACAGGCTCGGGGGGATGAATTGACCTCATCGTGTGGGAAACAGGCTCAAGGGGCTGAATGGATCCCCTGTTCCTGTTTAAAAGGCTGGAGGAGCCGAGTGGTCCTCATTGTTTTTGAGTCCAACGGGGATTGAGAATTAGTCTCTGTTTGAGTAACAGGCCCAGAGCTCAATAATAAATAGGAATCTATTAAAGGCATCGATCATTGGAATCTGTATTTATGAAGTCACAGCATCATCAACGATATTGCAATTCACTTCCATGACAATCGTTTCATTACTTACCTACGACCTGTCTGACTGCTCGTCTGGTGAGTAACTGCCTGGACCCTCTGCTTCAAATGAATGGGCCTCTTCCTTTCCCGCTACCCTGTGTATTTAATTATAAAGTGCAAATGTGTGACTGTGTGTCAGAATGAGGAAGTGGGGAACCAGTGAGAAATTCCACAAAATGTTGCTTTCGTTGCAAATAGTTGACCGTATAAATCTAACTCTGTGATATTTCTGTTCAGAGCCAGGCAGCTGACCACATGCAGTTTCTAAAAACCAAAACAACTGCGGATGCTGTTAATCAGGAGCAAAAACAAAGTTGCTGGAAAAGCTTATCAGGTCTGGCAGCATCTGTGAAGGAGAAAACAAAGTTAACGTTTCGGGTCCGGTGACCCTTCCTCAGTTAGTACCTACCACAGATTTTAACCTTACTGTTCTATAATTCCCAGGCTTTTCTTTGCAGTCCTTCTTGAATAAGGGCACAACATTCACTTCCCTCTAGTCTTCCAGGACCTCACCTGTGGCAAATAATGATGCAAAGTATCAGCCAGGGCCCCCGCAATTTTTTCTCCAGCCTCTTGCAGGGTTCTTGGATATATCTGATCAGGACCTTTATCCACATTCACAGATTCTAGTACTTCCTCTACCATAATATGGAATCTCCCCAAAATATCGCCACTAACTTCCCCAAGTTTTCAAGTCTTCATGTCTATCCCCCTGGTCAACATAGAGAAGAAATATTCCTTGAGGACCTTACCCGTTTCCTGTGGTTCCACATATACATGTCCACTTTGGTTCTTGAGGGGGTCCTATTTTCTCTCTAGTTATTCTTTTTCCATTAATATACTTAAAGAATCTCTTTGGATTCACCCTAATCTTCTCAGGCAAAGCTATCTCGTGCCCCTTTTCGTCTCCTGATTTCCTTCTTCAGTAAACTCTGTATCCCCAATATACCTCCAGGGATTCCCTTGATTTCAGCTGCCTGTTCCTGTGCCATACCTCCTTTTTTTCTGGTCAAAGCCTCAATATCTCTTGTCGTCTAGGGTTTCCTACTCCTGCCAACATTGCCCTTCACCCCAACAGGAACATATAAACCTTGAACTCTAGCTATCACGCTTTTAAAAGCCTCTCACTTGCCAGAAGTCTCTTTGCCTGCAAACAAACTACTCCAATAAACCTCTGCAAGCTCCTGTCTAAATCCGTCAAAATTCACCTTGCCCCAATTTAGAACTTGAACCTGTGAACCAGTTTTGTCCTTCTGCATAACTATTTTATAATTAATAGAACTATTGTCACTGGTCCCAAAGTGTCCCCTACTATCACCTCAGTCACTTGTCCTGCCTATTTCTCAGTAGGTGGGGTTTTGCCCCTTCCTGAGTAGGACCCTCTACATACTGCTTGAGGAAACTTTCCTGAATACATTTAACAAATTCCACCCCTTCTAAGCCCTTAACTCTATGGCCGTCCCAGTCTATGTTAGGAAAATTAAAACTCCCCCACTATGACAACCCTATTTCTCCTGCAAATCTCCCCAGTCTCCCTGCATATTGTTCCCCTAATTCCCGTTGACTAGTTGGGGGCCTATAGTACAACCCCAATAATGTCACCATCCCCTTCTTATTTCTTAGCTGCACCCACAAAGCCTCACTGGATGATCCCTCAGTTATTTCGTCTCTGACTACTGCTGTGATACTCCCCTGAATCAAAAAAATGCAACTCCCCCTCTCTTCTTTCCTCCACCTCTGTCCCACCTAAAACATCTGTACCCTAGCACATTAAGCTACCGGTCCTGTCCTCACCTTAGCCTTATTTCTGTACTGGCTATAATATCCCAGCCCCAAGTAACAATCCACACTCTGAGTTCATTGACCTTACCTGTCAGCCCTCTTGCATTGAAATAGATGCAATTTAATCCAACAGGCATTCCTCACTCTCTGACCCGTTCCAGTCTGACCTGTCTCTTTGACTTGCTATTTCTGATTACTGTATCTCCTTCCAGCCTCGCACTTGCCTACCTGCTGTTGAGGATCCTACTCCTCTACCAATCCAGTTTAAACCCTCCCTTGCAGCACTAGCAAATCTGCCCGCCAGAATTTTGGCCCCCCTCCAGTTCAGGTGCAATTCTGCTCCAGAAAAGATCCCAATGATCTAGGAATCTGAATCCCTGCCCCCTGCACCAATTCTTTAGCCAAGCATTCATCCAACATATCCTCCTGTTCTTACCCTCACTAGCACATGGCACTGGAAATAATTCAGAGATTACCACCATGGAAGTCCTGGCTTTTGACATTTTTCCTAGCTCTCTATAATCGTTCCACAGGACCTCATCCCTCATCCCAATGTGCACAATGACTTCTGGCTTCTCACCCTCCCACTTGAGAACATTCTGCAGCCCCTCTGAGACATTCTGGACCCTGGCACACGGGACGCAACACACCATCCTGAATTCCCATCTGCAGCCACAGAATCTCCTGTCTCCCTAACAATCGAGTCTCCTATCATTAAGGTCCTGTTTACCTTTACCCTTGCTGGCTGTGCCCCGGAGCCAATCCTGGCTGCTGCTGCTTTCCCCTGAAAGGTAATCCTCCCCAACAGTATCCAAAATGGTACACTTATTTTTGAGGGGAATGGCAACAGGGGATTCCTGCACTCTCTGCCTACTCCCTTTGCCTCTCCTGCTGGTCACTCAGCTACTCTCTGCCTGCACCTTAGGTATGACCACCTCACTAAAACTCTTACTCAGCACCTCGGATGAGCCTGAGAGCATCCAGCTCCAGCTCCTGCTCCCTAACACGGTCTCCCAAGAGCTGCAGCTGGGTGCACTTCCCACAGGTGTAGTCATTGGGATGATGGAAGTCTCCCTGAGCTTCCACATCCTGCAGAAGGAGCTTGCCACTGCCCTAACTACGATCTCAAATGCTCTAAAGACTAAAGAGGAAAGTTAAAAGGACTTTACCCAAGTTTACTTGTACTTTTTGCCAAGCCGCTGCTCACCAAAGCCTCTCGATCCAATGCCTTACTTCTGACTATGCTACCAACAAATTTTCAACAGCACAGCTCCCTACCCCTTACTTTTTTAGAGGATGGAGGGAGGGATGGAAACGCTATAGTGATGTAATTTTTGGAGCTTAAATACTCCTTGATACCAGGCCCATAACAATCGGCTCCTCAGTATGGGTGACTGCTTCGAGACTCTAATGTATGCAACGAACTGATGCCTCTCCCTCTCAGTTGCCCTCTGTTGGATGCTCTTCCTCCTGCTGATCAAGGGGGCTGTTGCCTGATGATCTGCTCCTCAGTGCAGGCAATCACTTAGAGGATGGTTTGAGAATGATGATGAGACAGACCAGAGAGACGAAGGATAAAGGATAAGGATGAATCTATTGGAATACATTGGATACAGGACACAGAAACAAGCCATTCAGCCCAACTAATCCATGCTACTGCTAATTCCGTCTCCCATTTTTTCTTCATCCATGACTGACATTGTAACAATCTTTCTCCTTTGAGTGTTTATCCAGTGGCCAAATTAAATACATTGACATGATTCACCTCAGCTACTCCCTGTGGGAGTGAGTACCACATTCTGCTCAGGCCGAATGAAGAGGTTTCTCCTGAATTCACAATTGGGTTTCTTGTGTCTGTCTTATATCAATACTGCCCGGTGCTTCCCCAAGAGGATGCATTCTCCGTGAATTCACTGTGTCAAAACCTTTCAGAACAACATCACGAAGGTTACTCATCAGCCTCCTCTTTCTGCTAGAAAAGACCAGTCTGTCAATCCTTTCCTGATGTATTCATTCACATATTTCTGAGATACACTGTATTAAACTTCCCCGCACCCTCTCAAACACCGCTGGCTCCATTTCATAGTGTGCAGATCAGGATTGCAGACAGTACTGCAGGTGTGGTCTGACCAGGATTCAATACGAGTTTAATATAGTGTTCCTCCATTTCAATTGTATCCCTCTGGAAATAAAGTGCATAGCTTCATTTGTTACTCTGTGGCTTTGCTGATCCATGGAGCAGCAATTAATGATTGATGCATTTGTACAACATGAACCCTGTGTTCCACAACACCACCTGACTCACATCTTCCGCTCAAAAACTGACCTTCCTATTTTTCCCTCCAATGTGTATTCATTGTCATTTGTTGA